AGAATTTTTGAAAAAAATGAGCACGTTACATATGCCTCTCCACTCGCACACTATCTCGCTGTATCCGTCTAACCTGCTTATCTTACAGCTTTGAAACGTAATAGCAGACCATTGCGATTCAACTAGAATGTTGCTGATAATTTGAATTACCTTCTTTTGTCAGTATTTTTACACACCATCTCCTGTCAACTATTAATTATTCCAGTATTGACTATCCATTATGTATCGATATCCATTAAGTTCACTCCCCTATCGATATCCATCAAGTTCACTCCCCTTGCAAGCTATGCCACGACGTTCCTGCCCATTCTAAACTGCAAATTTAGGAGTGTAACAACAGCAAAATATTTGCAGTTAACACTCATCCAAGGATCCCCGTTTCGGATAGATTACTACTACCCATGATCTTTTGAGATTAGCTGACAACTGATAATAACTACTTCCGAAGAATGAAGTAAGCTAGAACGAATAAATTGTAAGTAAACGCCGACGATTATACCGGTTAAAGTAGAGGAGTTGTATTTATAATAAGCACGAATCGAAGGTCATGGTACCCAGCGTCCTTTCATCCAATTTTACTACGAACGGAATGTTTGGAGTTGATAAGTTGCCACATTCGACAAAATTGCGTTTATTGCGGCGTATTATTACAGATCCGCTCCTAATATATATGCGGTCCAAATATGGGCTTTATCAGTTTAGAACTTTTTACAAAGTGTTTCTGGAATACGGGCATGCACAAGAACATTCATGCTTATTCGCATATAAACTTCTAAGTTTATTTATGTAAATTTTGTCTGAGGGAAGCAGTGATTGTCTGATAGCAATACTGTAATAATAAATATAAATTAGATAGAGCCACGGCTTAGTTCACCTTCACTAATGAGCGAAGAAAGAGTAGGCTCTCACCTAAGTAGTTTGAGTAAGTCAAGCTCCGGTGAGGAACCCCGGACATTGACTTTTCTACACACTAGGTTGACAAATATAAGGTTAAAGGGAGGGAACGGCGTTTGCTTTATTGATAACGAAAAAAGATTAGGAGATCGGAGTACATAAGAACTGTTGATATTGGGGAGAATGATGAGGAGTTGTGAAAAATGAAAAGGTGTAGTTTTGAAGGTAGCAGTTGAAGTTGAAAAGACCAAGTGTGAAGAGTAAGTGATGAATTCGCCCTGACTATTTCTTTCAATGCAGTTGATATTTTTAAGGTCGAAAGACATGCATCTTTGGAAGTAATAATACGATTTATAATTAAACTTGAAAGCTGCGCAGTCGTCAGCTGGATTTTTCATATGATTCTTAGAAGAATGGGAGATGTTGGGTATCGTTAAGTAGGAGCCAAGATAGCCCAAAAACCCAAATGCCCCGTCGGCTCTGGTCGTTCTCTGCCACCTCTCAAAATTGCACACTCCCTAAACAATCAAACGTCTTCCACCGGGCATTTTTGGGTGCCCTTTTCTCCGTTCTTTGCAATTTAATGTAAGCAAATCGTATATCATTATGAAGGTCTTGAAACGTACATTCAAGCAGACAACTGAGCAACATTCAATTTGGTTTGAGTGAATGAAATAAGACAATCCAAGTTTTCTATTTCTAGGTCAAAGTTTTTGTCTACGTTTTTTCGTTAATTCGACAGGAAATCTTAACTGCAGTAAAGATGACAACTGCGCAACTTTCAGCTCCAAATAAAGCG